TGAGGTTAAGCCTCCTTCAAACTTATAAGCAAAATTGAACACGCCCAGCACACACCGCAACTTAACTTTGCTATAAAAATGTTTTATACTTATAAACTTATATTATAAGGAAAAATGGCCGTCTAACATAACGGAAAATGCTGTCCGCAACCTGGCTAATTATGTTGAAACTATTTTAAGAAAATTTAACATGCATGATTGTAAACCTGTTTGTATTCCTAATGATGTTAATAACAAAATTTGCAAAGTTTCAGAAAATAACAAGCGAAAAGAAGCTGAAATTTCTGTCTACCAGAGTGCTGTTGGCAAATTACTGTATGCTACGAGGGCTACTAGACCAGACCTGGCATACGTCATAGGCGTTTTATGCCAATATTGCTCAAATTCCGGTCCAAATCACTGGACAGCCGTAAAGCGTGTTATGAGGTATCTGCGTGGCACCACAGGAGCAACATTGAAGTATTCATCCTCTGGAAACCCGCAAATTATTGGATACTGTGATTCAAACTTTGCTGGATGCCCTGACGATAGGAAATCCACAACGGGATTCACATTTTTACTTGCTGGTGGCGCAGTTACATGGCAAAGCAAAAAGCAACCAACTGTAGCGTGCTCTACAACCGAAGCGGAATATATGGCGCTGGCCCAGGCAACGAAAGAAGCCATATGGTTACGAAGGCTTCTACGAGAATTGCAACTCCCAAACTGCGACGACCCCATCAAAATTTATTGTGATAATAAAGGTGCTATTGACTTGAGTAAGAATAGTGTGTTTCACGCCAGAACCAAACACATTGACATTCAACACCATTTTACCCATGAAGCAGTTGCCCAAAAGGAAATCGTAATTCACAAAATCAACACAGAAGAAATGGTCGCTGATATATTAACAAAATCACTACCGAGAGAAAAACACAACTGGTGTTCACGAGGGTTAGGACTTCAAATTTAAATTATGTTAATTTATATTTTGTAATGTTTTAAATCAGGGGAAGTGTTGAAGCATCTTGTATAACCAGATTTAAAACATTGACGTTATGGTTATAGATATCATAGATGTCGCTTATGTTCGTATTGTAAAATGTACGTTCGTTGATGTTAGCCAAAATGGCTGTATTGTAACTTATATTTTATGTTAAGTGTATCGGACTAAACAAGCATTAAACTTTTATACTTGATAAATACTCTGTTCCAATAGGCATTTCGATGAGAAGTGTAGTAAATTTGGATCATATATCTGTTTCATCTGCATTTGAAAAAGGCATTTTCGCAATACAACTAGCATAAACCTAAATGACACTACATGAAATAAGTCAACCTTTTGTTCACAACAAAAGAACGTTTTGTTTTTCCAAAGCACTCTTCTCAAAAAATTAAAAATTGTATTTTTAGGAAAAATGTGATACTGAACCACCATGTGTGATATATCGTTGTAAAGAGAAAAAAAGACGTAATCTCAAAATGTGAAAATTCAAAATGGCACCCATAAGAAAAACTAAAGTTGCCACGTGTTTCTCCGTCATCTGGAGAGTTATTAAAAACAGGATGCCATATTTGAAATCTCCATTAAAAAGTGTCCGAATAATGTATTAATTAGAAATGTCTACTACGATTAGTTTATCATAAAAAAAAATAAAAACGAAAATCAGAAATTTTTGTTTTTTTTAGATATCTTCAAAACTATTGAAGATATTTGAAATGTCTTTTCAGATTCTTCTTCAGCACGAAAATTGGCAACTTTGCCCCCATTTAACCAACTTTCTATCTCTTAAGATAAGTGAGATCCCCATAGTGGCACTCGAAAAATGGACACCGTGTATACAAATAACCACTTGCTTAAATTAATCAGAGATACAAAATTTACTGGGTTCGTAAACATAAGTGACAAATATTAAAAATAAAACAAATTACACACCTTAAATCCTAACTTGCCCCAACACTATCTAAATTTAGTCTACCCAAAACAAATTTAATGCTCATAAAAAAACTATATAGACGAAAATGTTCAATTATATTGTCATCCAAAATTAAAAGCACCTCCAATCCCTTCCCATTTGTGAAGAATAGCATTCTGAAATCTCTTGCAAAAAGTACATAAATGCATCGTTAATTAGGTGGACCTCCTTCAATCCGGAATGTACCTGAAGGTCCTGGATACAGTAAACTTAGAAAACACTGTAACATCTATCAAGTGTGCGAAATTGATTAAAAAAAACTTGTCTGAATTTGATGCACACATCAAGCAGGGCCACAGACTTCTGATTTCAAGTGTAAGTAATTTCAATTACAACTAAGTCCATTACATTTTTGTAAATGGACAATGGCACAAATTAGAACAAATTGAACTTAACTCAATGGATGCAGAAAGCAAAGTAACCTCAAACACAAAGTGAACCGCTAAAAATCTAACTTGGCAAAGCTAATTCAACACACCATATCCTTCCTATATACAGGGTGAGTTTTTTTTTCATTTTAAGCATTAGGATCTCAGAAACCGTAAGACATAGAGATTCGGATAAATGAGGAAAGAGTTGTTTTAAGAGCTTATTTAAGATATGCTTTTGTTTTTTTAAAAACATCCGCAGTTCACTAGATATGAGCGAAAATAGTAATTATACACCAAGGTAGAGAAGTTGATTTTCTTAGCCGAGCGGTATTATTTCCCGAGACGCTTCGCGTCGAGGGAAATAAGAAGCGAGGCGATGAAAAGTCTTCGCTACCGTGGTTTATATTCACTACTAGCAGATGAACTGTTTTAACACATTAAATATCATTAGAAAACACGATTTTGGCGATTTTAAGTACCTATAATAGGTAGGTACTTTTACAAGAAGGCTGTGACTTTGACATTACATTATTTGTAAGTTGCATTTTGCGTGTTTCGCTAATTTCTGTTAAATAAATACGGATAGTGAATTTTCGTGCACTCCTCCAGACATACGAGAGGCAGCAAAAAGCGTGGCCGCTAACGACCTCTTGCCTGAAAAATCAAAACATTATTACAATAAAATTCATTTAAATTTTAAAGAGTGGTGTCAAACAAAATGTGTTTCACAAGTTAGTGAAAATGTTATGTTGGTGTATTTCGAAGAATATCGCGTACAATAATTGTGTGATTAATTATAATTTTCAAAAGTAAGTTCTTTAAGTTCTGTTCAGTTCAATAAAATCATGTTTACTTCGTTTATCGGTTGCAGGCGGTATAATCGTCCTTAAATTGTCAAAAAGTTCGCTTGTAAACAACATCGTAAACACATTGATATATAAAATGACAAGTGAGTATGTTAGTATGACAAATGAGTAGTGTAATATTTTACCATACCATTAAACAAAACTATTGTTATAACTTTATTAGGAAAAATCCTCTGAGTACTACATTTACCGCAATTGTAGAAACCAAGAAATGGTTCTGTTTCGTATGTTGTGGTCTCAAACCCATATATTTTTTGACGATTTCCACATAATTAATGGAGTCCTGTGGGATGACAATGACACTTAGACCATATAGTACATGGACTGCTAATTGTAACTAAAATATGGTCAAGGACATCGCCTGGGTATGTGAGTTTCAGGGTAAACGAGTCTGTCCGAAGTTGTCCGATGAGACACGATTTGAGACTGTCAACCTATAAATTAACAAACGTCAATTAATTAATCGCCTAGATATCCCAAAAAAAGCAAACTGATTCTTATTTGTGGACGTATAGCAAATAATGAAGAGTATTTAAAGCTTCCTGTACTACGCGGTTACTATAAAGCTGCTCTTTAAACCATCCTAGTGGTGTTTACACGACTTTAGTTTACCCTGAGATTCACATACCCACGACTACAGTGCCCTCTATCCGTGACCATCCATTTTGTATTGAAAGCATAGAGCTAATAGCAGTCCATGTACTATATGGTCTAAGCAATGACAATTCAACTCATGTTGTATAAAAAATCGCATAAGCCGCAGTGCAATTGTCACTTTGACAGCGGCAAAAGTTACCTGCAACTTTTCCAGCGACAAATGCACTAGTGGTTTTTTCACTTATTCATTTTCGAACCAATTTCACATTATCCTTTCCCATATGACTAGTATGCCAAGAGGTTTGTACTTTACCGAGTAAATTTGGGTTGTTAAGGTAATGAAAATCTGTTGCCTTTTAGCAATTGAACTCGAAAAACTGTCAACCTAAAAATGCTCCACCTTCGGTGTCGCATTTTTATTAGTTGACAGTTTTTCTCGTGTAATTGCTAGGCAACAGATTTTCATTACCTTAACAACCCAAATTTACTCGGTAAAATACAAACCTCTTGTGCAATTATAAGTGAAAAATCGAGGTTTAGTAACAATAAGGACATCTTCACTTTTAACATCATTTGCGCCCAAATTGTAAATTTCATCGCATAGTGTAGCCCCAAATAAACCAAAAACGGCTGCTACCTAGGAAAAAGCATTACAAGTCAAGCATATGCGTTAGTTTCTGACATGTTTGTACCTACCTTGCACATGAGAAATTGATCGTCTTTTCCCCAGTCCTGAAAATCGGCATAATATTTTTCATATCGAACTTTCGATTTAAGTTGGAATTAGAGACTTAAAAGCTTCGTTAGCACTTTCTCGTACGTTTTCAGGCAAATGTACAGTACCTACTCATTTTCTAATTAATCAGATGAAAAATTAGGTTTTGTTGATTAGCAACACTCGCAACCATAACAACCAAATTTTAACATAGCAACCGACATCTACGACAACTTTGATGATTACGATAAAAATGTTATTTGATTTAGGAAATTGCCCAAAAGTAAGGGATTGTGCGCCTGCAACCGATAAACTATTGAACAAACCGCTGATGTTAAGGCAATCATAACAGCCTTAGATGTCTTACAATCCTCGCTACGCTCGGATTTTAACCTGACATCTACGGCTGTTATGCTAGCCTTAACATCTTGGTATGTTAATAGCTATAACATAACGTAGAACGCTAGAGTTATTTATTTATTGCCTCTAACTATGGCAACCCAAATGTCAAATTCATTATCTCCTACTATTATAGGAGAGAAATAATCCACGAGGTAGAGAAAAATAAAATCTAGCATCGAATACCAGCCTACTAATTATACGTTGTAATGGTAGTAGTGAATAAACAGATTTAGTGATTTTTCATTTAACTGTTGTAGAATCGTTAGTAGAAATACAAAAATATGCAAAGAACAAAAATTGTAGATTTTTTTCCGCTTAATAATATACATTTATTAATATTTATTCTTCTTTTATAATTTTCGAGTTATAACGCAAACTTACATTTTTTTAAATGGTAATCATAGTTGGCTGTGACATTTTTGAAAAGTGCAATTTTTTCTGTTTACAATGATATAAGGTTCATTGTACTTACTTTGACAAATAAACATGATACAGAACTGTTTGTATTATTAAGAGTAGTAAAAACAGATTTTGCCATGGGAAACATTTTTGTTCTCTTAATTACTGTCTATTATAATATTTAACTTGCAGTTAGTTATGCGGCGGGGCACAGTTATGTTGAAACCAGCATAAATTACGTCGTGTTTCCGAATCTAACCCATCCTATACCTACATATCTTGAAATTCATTTGGTAGAAAATGAAGATAACATTGGCCTGCCCAATTTTCGTCGTAAACGAAAGGTATACCTATCTTACTAGATATTATTTTCCATGGCCAACTCTGTTTACTTACCTCTCAATAATATACGAAAATTACTGCAGGGCGTTTATTTAATAAAGTACATTTAGCAAGCCTTATATCGTTATAAAGAGAAAAATTTATCCTTTTGAAAAATGTCAAAGCCAACTATGACTACCATTTAAAAAAATTAAAGTTTGTATTATACCTCAAAAATTGTAAGTTCTAAAAATAAATTAGTATGTTTATCATTAGTAAAAGATCTTGGAGTTATCTTTGACTCGAAGTTACAATTTTCTGAACAT